AGGCAAGGCCCACAGTCGAAAACCTCGAGGACTCCAAACGAGCGCGAACACGTGCAATCATTGAGCACTCAAACGATGACGTCCAAGTCTTTAAGACGGTCAAAAATGGGGTGTCTACAATACCGTTACAACGTCAAATATTATGTGCCCCTCTGGCTGAAACTTGTGAATAAAATATTTGGCCCAAAGCTAAACGTCTGGCCAAATGAGGTAACATATTGTTATTCGGCTATATCACCAGAAGCCGATTATAGTGACGCCCTTGCCCCATTTGGGCATACCATTACAACGCCGAATATTATGTGTCCCTCAGGCTGAAACTTGTGAATAAAATATTCGGCCCAAAGCTAAACATTTGGCTAAATGAGGTAATGTATTGTCATTCGGCTATATCACCAGATGCCGATTACATTGATGCCCTTGCCTCATTTGGGCATACCGTTCCAAAGCCGAATATCATGTGTTAACCTGGACATATTTCAAACCCTGCGACGGACGCAGGGTTAACTGTTGGGCGCATCAGAAATGCTACATCCGTAATTAATGAATGAGGTAAATATAGGTATTGAGTATTTAAGAAGCTGTGGGCGTTGTGGAATGAATTTGGCATAGACGACAATAATCGACAATTGGAGGAAAAACATAAACGTGAGTTGGACCATAGATGTCACAGAGGCTATTTTTCAATAGTAAAGGAGAAACAAGAAGTTTGGCTGAACTAGATGTTGGAATGCATCGCGTTGCTAGAGGCGAAGCTCAAAGAACGGGGGAAATGGTAGCAGAAGGGAGGGAGAGACGCCAGTCACCCAGACGTCGTAGTAGGTCCCCCAGAAAAGGTGACGCAATGAAATCTTCTAGGGATGGGGTGCAGCAATGAGGAGGGTCAAGGAGTCATACCGGTGATTAGAGTGCTGCATGAGGTGAGCCGAGTAGAGCTCCGTACCCGTTGAGCTTTTCGATTTTTGTTGGGAAAAAATCGATGACTGAAACGGATTCGATTGTCCACGATCCAAATGTGGCAGTCGAGTTTGCTCGATAGATCTTTCTGCCTGAAGTCCAGCAATCAATGGTTGGTTGGCCTGACTACGAGGTTTTTCGAGAGGGCATCCATGAAGCGGTGAAGGGTCTACACACCTCTTATAAAATCGGCATGCGTCTTCGTGCTGCGCGAAGAGAGATAGAATGGAAAGACAGCCGCATTCGAAGCTTGGAACAACGTGCAGAAAAAGTTGAGAATGAATTCAAAAAGGCAAAAGCTTCTGAAACGCAGTTGATAAGTCAAGTTAACCCGATCGTGGCGGAAAGGGTAAACCAGCGGCTCTTAGATCATGTTATCGCTAACCGAGATACGGCGAGCATGTTCGCAAGAGAAGTGATACGAACGAAGGCCTACAATGAAGGCTTCTTTGACGGCCAAAAATTGGTATTGATAAGACAAAAGAAAAATTAGCTGAGGACGTTTGTCGGTGCAAAAATTTTGGATTTAAGCATGGGTGGACTAAGGCGCTGCATGCCACGGGTGTCGATTCAGCGTTACCTCTATATCAGAACTACAAATTTCCCTTCGAAGCTCATGATACCGAGAAGACCGATGATGAAGAGGGTGCTGAATAAATTTACATGTCGATATGCATTGTACCCTTTAAGTTTGTCGAAAGTTATGTATTTGGACCTTATTTAACGAAATAAATATTTTCTATATTGTTTCGATCAATGTTTGTTTTTGCTTGTGGTAATCGTACACTGATCCATACCATTCTATTGCCAAATTTAGACCTTCCGAATTCGGAGGCTTATTCGGCCCAAACGTGGCATCCACGGATGAGGCTCCGAATTCGAAGTCTTTGTGTTGGCCAATTGTGACACCCACGAAGGGTGCTCCAAATTCGGAGGCTTGTTGGCCAATCGTGACATCCACGAAGGGCGCTCCGAATTCGGAGGCTTATTCTGCCCAAACGTGGCATCCACAGATGGGGCTTCGAATTCGAAGTCTTTGTGTTGGCCAGTCATGACATCCATGAAAGGCGCTCCGAATTCGGAGGCTTATTCGGCCCAAACGTGGCATTCACGGATAGGGCTCTAAATTCGGATCCTTTTGGTGTTGGCCAATCGGGACATCCATGAAGGGCGCTCCGAATTTGGAGGATTATTCGGCCCAAACATGGCATTCACGGATGGGGCTCTGAATTCGGAGTCTTTTGGTGTTGGCCAATCGTGACATCCATGAAGGGCGCTTCGAATTCGGAGGCTTATTTGGCCTAAACGTGGCATCCACGGATGGGGCTTCGAATTCGGAGTCTTTGTGTTGGCCAATTGTGACATCCACGAAGGGCGCTCCAAATTCGGAGGCTTATTCGGCCCAAACGTGGCATCCACGGATGGGGCTCCGAATTCGAAGTCTTTGTGTTGTCCAGTCGTGACATCTACGAAGGGCGCTCCAAATTTGGAGGCTTATTCGGCCCCAACGTAGCATTCACGGATGGGGCTCCGAATTCGGAGTCTTTTGGTGTTGGCCAATCATGACATCCACGAAGGGCGCTCCAAATTTGGAGGCTTATTCGGCCCAAACGTGGCATTCACAGATAGGGCTTCGAATTTGGAGTCTTTGTGTTGGCCAGTCGTGACATCCACGAAGGGCGCTCTAAATTCAGAGGCTTATTCGGCCCAAACGTGGCATTCACGGATGGGGCTCCGAATTCGGAGTCTTTTAGTGTTGGCCAATCGTGACATCCACAAAGGGCGCTTTGAATTCGGAGGCTTATTCGGCCCAAATGTGGCATTTACGGATGGGGCTCCGAATTTGGAGTCTTTTGGTGTTAACCAATTCAGCTCTGGATTGTCCGTTTGACTTCTGAATCGATGGCAGAGGCTAGGCAAGCCAGGGCATCCGTATACGTGTTCTGATCTCGAGTTATTTGATTCAATTCATGGTGGTCGAATTTCGCGAGCAACAAATTCACCGTTTTCATGTAAGCTGCCATGCGGTCATTTTTAGTTGCATATTCCCCTTTCAACTGGTTGATGACTAATTTCGAGTCACAAAAAACAAGCAGTTGTCATGCACCAAGGTGAAGTGCATTTTGTTGGCCGATAAGCAATGCTTCGTAGTCGGCCTCATTGTTCGAAGCCCAGTTTGACTGCCTGCTCGATTATTGCCCCTTCGAGGGGCATGATTACTACGCCTGCCCCACAGCCACATTGGTTGGATGACCCGTCATGGTACATCTACCAAATGTCTCCAACATATATCCTCCAGTTGGGTTTAGGTTGCACTTGATCAGACTTAAAGTCGACGAGCCATCCCGTGAATTCGACTACCAAATCGGCGAGAATTTGCCCCTTGATAGAAGTTCTAGGTAGAAACTGGATATCATACTGGCCGAGTTCCAAAGCCTACTTCGAAAGGTGCCCTGATGCTTCCACGCTACAGAATGCTGACCAGAGTGGATGATCCGTTTGTACCCTTATAGTATGCCCCTGAAAGTAGTGCATTAGTTTTCTTGCAGCCATAACGAGAGCAAGGATGTGCTTTTCCATTAGTAGATAGCGTGTTTCGGTGTCAGCTGTTGCTTTGCTTTCATAGTAAACTGGTCGCTGCTCCCCGAGTTCTTCCTTTAAAAGTATGGCGCTGATCGGTCAGATATCGCTAGGTACAGAATGAGTGGATCACCCGCCGAGGGGATTGCCAAGAGTGGTATTGATTAGAGGTAAGTTTTCAAACTGTCCAAAACGGCCTAGCACTTGGGGGTCCATTCGAAGGCTTTACCTTGCTGAAGTGTATGAAAGAATTATTGGCAACGATCAGTGGAATAGCTAATAAACCTGTTAAGCGTGGCGGCCATTCCCATTAGCTTCTGAACCTCTTTGACCAACCAAAGAGAGTTGAGTTCTAGAATTGCCATGATTAGCCTCGGGCTGGCCTCTATTCCGCAGTGGTTAACAATGTAGTCGAGGAATTTGCCGGAACTGATGCTAAATGCACACTTTGAAGGGTTCAATTTCATTTTATACTTTCGCAGAATGCTGAATGTTTCTGCCAAGTCGGCAAGATAGGCGTGCTTCTCCTTGGATTTAACCACCATGTCGTCAATGTATACTTCCATAGTGTGACCGAGCTGTTCCTTGAACATGGCAGTAATTAGTCTCTGGTAAGTTACCCCCACATTCTTCAGCCCGAAAGGCATGACCTTGTAGCAATAGGTTCCTCTCGGAGTAAGGAATGCAGTCTTTTCCTGGTCATTCGAGCGTATGGCAGTTTAGTGATAGCCTCTGTAGGTGTCCAAAAAGCTCATGCGTTGATGATGTGCCGTTGCATCTATGAGTTGGACTATTCTGGGGAAGAGAAAACAATCCTTGGAACAAGCTTTGTTTAAATTCGTGAAATCCACACAAATACGCCAGGATCCGTTCTCCTTTACAACCGCTGTATTGGATAGCCATGTAGGGTAGGTAATTTCGCGAATTGCCTCGGCATCAAGCAATCGGTCAACTTCCTCAACAACGGTAGAAGTATGCTCTGCGGCTGACCGGTGACTTTTCTAAATGATTGGTTTACATTTTGGATCGATGTTTAAGCAATGCTGGGCCACAGACAGATCCACCCCTGGTATCTCGTATGGCGTCCATGCAAACGCATCGAGGTTGCCGAGTAAGAAGGATACAAGCTCGTGCCTGTCAACTTCGTTCAGGGAAATGTCGATCATGACGAACTTGTCAGGATTCCCATTAATTTCGATCCGATCCAAATCTTCGGTTTCTTTTTTATTGGGGATCTTCCTAATATCCTCGAGGCTCTCTTGATCTGGTACTTCAATTTAATTCACTTTCATTTCCTTTGGTCACTTTGTAGTAGCAACAAGATAACATGCTTGTGCTGATCTTTTAGAACTCCGAATTTGTTCAATGCCATACTCGGTCGAAAAATGAAGTAATTGATGGTAGGTGCTCGGAATAGCTTGCATTGTATGCAACCAAGTTCTTCCCATGATGAGATTATATGGTCACGAAAGTTTGACGACCAGAAATTCAACATCTACTGATCTGGTGCTTGCCCAAACTGCTAACGTGATCTTGCCCAATGGATACTCAGGGTTAGCGTTGAAGCCGAATAATGGGTAATTGGTTGGCAACAAATCCGAATCTGTGAAGCCGAGTTTGACGAATGTCTTGTAATACATTATTTCCAAAGTGCTTCCCTGATCGATGAGAACACATTCAGTGGTGAATCTGTTGACGCGTGGCTCAATGACGAGGGGATCGGCGTGTGGGAGAGTTACTCCAACTAAGTCGGTGTCATTAAAACTGATCCTTCCAGTTTCATGGGGTCGTTCTGCTGGTGTGATCAGCCTTTGAAGGCTAGGTTGTAACTGAATTGTCTGTATCTCGGCTGACAGCAACAGGTTGTGTATCATGTGAATCACACCAAGTTGAGGCGAATCTGGCCTTAGGGCTACTATGTTCAATGGATTATTCTTTCGGACGTGTTGCGCTAGCCGACCGTCTTGTACCAGTTCTTCCAGATGATCCTTCAGTGCAAAATAATTGTCGGTGTCATGGCCGTGGTCCTTGTGATATTCACACCGCTTGTCCCTTCTCCTAGTGTCAGGAGGTCCGACCATTTTGGACAGCCATTTAAAGAACGAAAAGTGTTGAACTTTCAACAAAATCTTACTGGCCGGCTCTGCCAACTTTGTGTACTTTTAGTCCGAGCGTCTTGTGCGTTTGTTATCCACTTGATATTGTTCATTCGATCGATGTGAACATTGATCGTTTGATTGACGCAAGTCACGTCTTTTGTCTCGTTTGGCCCGATTCCGCAGTTCTGGGCTCCTTGATGGCACGGCACTTAAAGGCTGAACGATTCCAAACGGAGCCGTCTTAATGGCTTTCTGTTCGGCTTTGACTCACAAGGCATCATCTTCCACTTTGCAACACTCTTCGACTTTCTTCATTAATGCCCAGACTGTTTTGGGGGGCCGTCTGGTCAACGAACTGTGAAGGGGACTATCAAGATGTAATCCCATCTTAAAGGCGGTGATGGCCATGGAGTCATTACAGGCATCGTCTACCAAGTTAAAGCATTCCCAATAGCATGCCGAGTATTTACGAATGGTTTCTTCTGGTTTAATTTGCATTGCCCAGAGAGAATCGACTTGCTTTGGCTGGATTTCATTGGTGATGAATCTTGCCCTGAAGGACTTTTGGAGTTGATGGAAGCTTTTAATCAATGTTAGCTCTCATTTGTAGTATTATCTGACGGCCAGTGGTCTTAGACTGTTCGGGAACATTCGACACTTGAGGGCTTCATCGTCAGCATGCAGTGTCATCGCCTGTTTATAATGACGAATATGATTAGTGGGATCCGATTTTCCATTGTACAGGGTGAACGACGGTGCTTTGAACTTCTTGGGTAGTACTGCTGTTGCAATTCGTCACACAAAAGGGTCATGCTTATCTTCTTCATTCGAATCATCACTTCTTCTCCCCCGTTTGTGCCGTACATATGAACTTCCTTCGGATGAGCTGGATACATCGACTCATCCCTTTTTTCTGGGTTTCGAAGATGGTGAGTCAGAATCATTATCATTATCGTGTTTTTGAAGTCGACGTCGTCGACCATCATTCTTTCTCGAAGGTCGACCCTGGTCTTGGCCCGCGGCCTGTTGGGATTTTGCCACCTCCAGGGCCAAATCCTAGCGCAGGTGCTCGTTCTCAGCCATCACGTTTTCCAGCTGCTGCTCATTTTGCTTTGCTTGATCCGTAATCATCTTCATTGTCTCATGCACTGATGTCGAGGGTGAGGTCTGGGCTACTGAGTCGAAGTTCAAGGCCCGTCGTGCGGTGATATTCTTCGGTCCAAGCATGTTTCTTGGAGTGATGTCATCTCTTGGCGTAATGTCGTTAGCGACTACCGGAGGATCATCTGTTACGCCTGCCATGGATGTGCTTGAGTATTCCTACAGACAGCACCAATTGTGGAGAAGTGGTTTGGAAATACTCTAAGATCCAATAAGACGTTCTTGATCCTCTGATTGTCACCTAAAAAAGAATGAACACTCCGGTCGGGGGTGCCGGAATTAGCACTCCGATGGACAAGTTAGTATGCTCTCAAGTTTACTTCTATCTCAAGTTGTTTCATCTATTCTCACATACCTTTCCTTGGCTGATGTTCCTTTATTTATACTAATATCTAGTCTCAGGGGTCGGGCCCACTCTTACTCCAGCGCGTGATTGATTATTCGGCCTTTCAGTCGTATGCCAACTCCTATTCGGCTCCTTATATGGCTGATTCCATGGCCGATTTAAATTCTTGGCTTTAGGACCCCTTTAGAAAGAGTCAAATCGTCTTTGTCCTGGTAAATTTTCAGATTCATTTGGATTTCCTTAGTATATTGTTATTCGGCCCCCACAAGCATAAACTGCATGATGCTTTTGGCCCAATCATTGTACTTCTAGCCCGTATAACTATAAACTGTGAACGACTAATAAATCAATAAACCAAATGTGTTTTACAATAAGAGTATTTTGCTTCGAACTATAATATTTATTTCATGAATAAAGTGTTTGCTAGAGCAATTATTTTATAATGAAGTATTTGGCTTTGAGCTACATTTCATTAAAATAAAAAAATGAACTAAAATAATAATAAATAAATAAATCATGGCAACCATGATAAACTCTGGATCTCGCCTTGTTCAACCTTCAAGAGCTACTCCAACTTGTTGGTGACTTTGATATCCCCACTTCTTATCATCTCAGCTACTTCTATTGTAGCTTGTTCGTTCAATAAGGTGGAAACAATGGGTCGCCTTTGAACTACTTTAGCTTCAACAACACTAATTGTAGTCTTTAGTTATTGTGATTGTTCATCTAAATGTTCCAATGCCTTTACCAATTCTGCCTTCTTTGCTGCAAGGCTACCCAAATCATACTTCAGCGAGTGAATCTGCTCAATCCCTTCATTCTCAAGAGCTAGAGCATGAGTAACACGTTGACTGACATCCACCAAACGCTGATCCTGTAGCTTTGAAGTCATCCATTGAGCAAATGTTGATTTCATAGCATTTTGTATGTACGTAGAAATGTACATAATAGTCTATTTGAAGCTTTGAGAGCTCATCATAAAGCTCTTGGAGCTTTGGGCCCAATGCTGGAACTTTTTGAATAGGAGTTTTGCTCAATAAGCCTTTAATATGGTTATCAAGTATTGAAGCTGCCGAGTGGCAAGTATTAAGGATCATGCTCAATAGTAAAAGCCACAGAAGGTGCAACTTGACTCAGTGTAGGAGCAGCAGGTAAGGAAGAAGTTTGGACAATTGGAATTGGGTCAACTGAGAGACAACTCTTACGACTAATCACTAAATCAAAGGCTGATGGCCTATGAACTGATTCTTCATTATCTGAGAACTCATCAAGAAGTCTCATGTCCTCATTTCCGAACACCAAATCAAAGTCATCATTTAGTAACTGTTAAAACAAATTAAAGAGGAGTCAAAAACAAAAAATTAAAATAGATTCTGTCATTACCGGTACAACATCGGTAGCCAATGGTTGAGAAGTGCTAGGAACGTCGATCAAAAATGACTTCACGTCATTAAAAGTAGTAGTGTTCCTTCCAACGGTGCCAGTATCAAACTTTCTCCCTAAGTGACGCCAATTATGATCACTGTGGCTATGGTCCTAGTCTGCTACTCCACCAAGAGTCCCATCAACACTTCCTCGAACCATTTTGTTGGTCTTGGGATTAGAATTTTTCTTAGCAACTATATTTTTGTTCACTTTAACCATCTTTTGATTTGGTGAAGCCGGGCATTTGCTCCTTGGGATAGAATTTTCTTTGTTGGAGAAATAGCCTACATAAAGCTGGGATCATCACTCCAAAAAAGCCTTGGTAGTGGAACGAGATGGGAAATCAAAATGCGCTGGTAACCTCAATACAGAATGGGTACCATCACGAACACAAGAATCCCAATGCTAAATAATGCTCTGTAAACTACCATCCCGAAGATCAACCTTAAGTTTACCCGGGATGGCTTGAATAAAACCAAATTGCCTGCTAAACCTGTGAGGACTATGGCTCAATGACCATAGCGGACGAACTTCGCAAAGTCAAGTAGCTCGAGTAGATGCTGATGAAATACTCTAAGTCTGAGTTAGAAAAATGATCGTCATTAACCAATTCCTTGGGATTGCCCTTGCTATACGCCAAACGGTGCAAGGTCATATCTTTACATGATCGAAATAAGTCATAGGCCTTTAACTCCTCAAAATGTTTGGCCACCCTTTCACAAGCATATCTCGTCATTTGAGGCTTCAGAGCAAATTCAATACTAAAGTGTATGTTGAAATACTCTACTAACCAAGCATAAACATAATGGACTGGGATGATGGTGTCGCACTTTCCAGGATCAGAAGAAGAAGCAATTATATTAAGCCCTTTGTAGATGCTAGCAAGTACAAGAATAACAAGGCTGAATGAACGACCATGAGCCATCATGCTAGCAACCTTAAATACCCCAGGTCTAATCAAGTCGCTATCCCCATGGGGAAGAACAAATTTGCACAACCAACAGACAAGGAAAGCTAACAGATAAGTCTCATCCTTTTGCTGAACGAGCAATCCCCAAGTCATTAAAGACTTTGTCCCCTTGCACAGGTCGAGACCGAGTTACGCTAATAATACCAGAAGCGTTGCTAGTATCCTTAGGGCGTTGAGTCTTGTTCCTTGAAGCCCTCTTGGTTGATTTATGGTACTTAACTTCCCCTTTAAACCAAAATTTTATCTAGTTAGTAATTCTCACCACATTCTTTTCGACTCCTTACAAAGCCGATGGTAAACAAGGAATAAATATTCGTAATTGACAGGAAGAATGTGAAGGGTATTAGTAGACGGACACCTAAGCTCACAAAAGGCCCGCATAACACTATGTACTTGGTCATACGAGAATAATGAGGCATAAATTGCATCGTAAATGCTAGCATAGTGTAGTACCTCACAGTGTTTCCCCAGTGCATCATTTAACCACTCCCAATATCCTTCACAACAAGAAGGTTCTGTTATGGCCTTGAAAATAAAGCCACATGCCACATTCTGAGCCCGAACCGCACTCCCAAGGGTAGAAAATGAACTAAGATCCTTAATGTCTTCATGGTTAGATGACTTTAATAATAAAACCCCAAAGTGTGACAGGCCTTCAACCAATTGACATGAAGTCTCACGAGCCCATTATGCCAAATGAAAAGAACCATCAAGCAGCTCGAACTTCAAGCCCCAAGCACCAAGGAAAGGAGGCCGAATTGGAAGAGTAGTCCCCTCCTCAATAGCGTCACTGGAGTCTTCAAGAATGGTCAAATATCCCTTCTTGAAAGTATTGAAGTACACCATCACTGAGTGACAAAGCCAAACAATTAAAAAAAATTAAAAAATGTGTGCATTGTGGAGAGACATATATGATACATGATCATGACGCAAGTCAAACTAATCACCTATGGTCGAATGGGTGGTGGTGGTGGTGGAATTGTGTACTTCGCTATTCCAACATCAAGGCGACTAGCTCGACAAGCACATTCCCCCCACATAAGTCAAACTAATCACCTATGGTTGCATGTGTGGTGGTGG